TGAAAAAAAAATTGACAATGAATATATGTATCTTCATGTGTAACTGAAAAATTGTGCTCTACACTGGAATTTGACACAACATTGTAAATTGACTATAAATCAATAAAAAAAAGTTAAAAAAAAAGAAATGGTAAGAAATGAATTATACTAGAGAATAAGGTGCATGACTTAACCACGTCATATTTCTTGGTTGCCGTAGAAACACATAGCATATAGATTGGATTTCCTAGGACAATGTCAACTGCATGTAATTTTATTGTTTTTAATAAAGTCCATTCATAAAATGTGAAAAAAAAAGATCTTTCTTTATAAAACAATCAAGGAAATTTGAACTCAGACCAGTTATCAGGTGATAGTAAGGAATAAGGATTCATTTTTGTAGGTATAATAATAGCTATGTGATTATATATTTTTTTAAAGACTGCTTTTTGTTTCTCAGAAATACATACTAAGGTTAATTAGCAATGAAATGATATAATAATTTAAACTGTACTGAAGGGTAGGGAAGGAATTAGAGGTGATCTAGACAAAATAAGACTGAAACATGTTGGTAACTGTTGAAGGATGATGGGCACATGGGACTTCATTATACTCATCTCTCTACTTCTGTAAATATTTAAAATCTTCCATAATAAAGAGGCTTTTAAATTTGAATTTCAAATATATGTTAACTATCCTTGCTATGATCCATCATATAGTGCTAATTCATAATAATCTATCCTATTTGAATTATTATAAACTATATAATAATTATATTATTATATATATTATATATAATAATATATAAACTATATATAACAAATTCATAGATATTTTAGCAAAATCAGTTGCTTACCACTACTGTAGTAACAAAAAATAAATATCATAGGTCACTGTGACTATAAAAATATCAGAAATTAACACTTATTCTATGATTCTATTAGAATTGTATATATGGAATACAAATTACGGATTTTAAAATGTTTATAACTTAGTATTATAATAAAACTACTGCTACAAATTTAAAAAACATACAGTACAAAGTCATTATCTGAGCTATTCTGAAATGAAGAAAAATTTAAAAGAAATGTCTGATTCACTGGGAAGCACAATTGTACATTTGTAATTTAATTGTTTAACTAGTAGATAGTAAAACCAAAAAAAAGAAGCATCTATCCTACAACTGATTTGCTCAAGATGCATAATACACAGAACACTTAAGGCTGCTTTGAAGAAAAAGGTTTTAAGCTTTTATCAAGAGTGACCAACTCTAACCCCCTAAAATCCAGTACAGTCGACCCTCCATATCCTAAGGGTACCAAATCTACGGATTCAACCAAGGGCAAATTGAAAATATTCAGTTAAAAAAACAAAATCCCAGAAAGTTTCAAAAAAGCACAACTTGAATTTCCCACGTACTGAACAATTATTTACATAGCATTTTCACTGTATTAGGTATTATAAGTAACCTAGAGATGACTTATAGTATACGGGAGGAAGTGTATAGGTTACATGCAAATACTGTACCATTTTATGTAACGGACTTGAGCATTCCTGGATTTTGGTATCCGAAAGGGTCCTAGAATCAATTACCCTTGGATAAGGAGGAAAAACTCCAGTATGAATTGCTCATAAAAGGACTAAGATTATTCTCCTCACCCTCAACAAAAGATAGTTACAGGTAGGTTTTTATTGACAGCCTATCACTCAGAATTTTTTTCTTTCTAAAGTAGAACTCTTCCAGAAAAGAAGATTCAAAAAGCCTAGTCCATGAATAGCTGTGACTCCATCTTATATTTTGATTAATTGTATATGATTAAAACCATACTACATTCCCCAATCTTAAAGAGGAATATTTGAAATACTCTTCTTTCTCTCTTAAGGAAAAAATACATTTCCCATTCTTTTTCTGCAAGATTTCATTATGCTAAAAAAAAAAAACACTTTACACAGTTAAAAAAACCCTCGAACTAAATTGAGTTTAAATACATTTTTGTTTTTCAATGAAGCTTGATAGTTAGGCAGCAGCTCCCCATTCCTTCCCTACAAGATTTCACTATGCTAACCCTGAACAGGATAACCCTGATCTTAGTTGATAAACGCAGAGTACTTGCCTTTCCAGTCTTCTCCATGCTTCTGTAACTAGTGCTTCAACTAGTGGGTCATGGACCTCAACACCAAACCTCAAAAAAATCAAGAGAAAATAATTTTCCATACATAAACATTTTAAAAGTATTAAAAATACACATGCAGTAAGAATTATAATGCAAAAGGGAACCTCAAGTTATACTCTTACACAGTCCTTGTTTCTGATCTGCTCCCATTTTAGTATTCTGATTTCTTGGTACAATGTAACAAAACACCTATACTTTACCCAGTGCCCTTCTTATCCTTTCATCTGTTCATTTCAATACCCTCTACTGAACAATGAAAATGTTCAATGATATATTTTATGTTAAAAGTACAAATAAATATGTACTACTTTGCTCTGATTGTAAAAATATTTTTATAGGAGAAAGTTTGTAAAATAAAGAAAAACTTTAATAGGGTAATAAAATCATTTATAATTCTGCTACTCATAAATATCCACACCATCATTAATTTGAAGAACTTCTTTCCAGTTATTTTTCCACACACATATAAAATATACATACTTCTTTTGTATTTTTATCCCCGTTTTTCAGTAAGTTAACATTATATTGTGGGCATTTGCTCATATCATTATATATTCTTCAAAACATGGTTTTTAATGGTTGTATAACATTCATTATATGAATATATTACTTAAATACTCAGCTACTTACTAAAATCTTAGTTTTTTAATATTATAAGCAATACTAGGATGAATAAGCATGTGCAAGAATCTTTACATGTATCTCAGATCACTTTCTTATGGTAAATCTTAGAAGCAAAATTATTGGGTCGCAAGGGTATTTTTATAGTTCTTGATACATACTGCACTACCAGAAGCATATAGCAGTTCCTTCGCTAACAATGCAAAGCATATACCTTTGCCAACAAGAGATATTTTCTCTATATAATTAAGCCATATATATATTGTACTTAAAAAAAATATCTTTTTAACTGACTTCAACATCTTTATAATGTTGAGCCTATGTTATTTGTCTACTAAAAGTCAAAGACTTTCAAGTTGAGTCATGAAACAAAATCGAACTACATACTGTTTAAAAAACTTGAAAACAAAATTGTATTTTACTCCTAAAATCCTTTCCTTACTAAAATATGACTTAGGAGGATACATAGAAAGATGGTTTTTAGGCAAATCGTCAAAAAGCACCATTCTCCATCTAGGCAGTATTCTTGTGAGGTGTTCAACATGTTTTGTGGTTAAAGGAGTCTGGAAACCCCCAACTTAGAGATTCACAATATACATTAGCATACCAAAGACTCTGAAGAGTCCTACAATAAAGATCTGTTTAATTTTGTCTGATTCAGCATTTTCCACACTATTATGACCACTGAGAAAGCAAAACTGATTATCTTGACCATCTCATGATGTACCTCAGAGAAAAAACTTTGCAATCTGAGAAAGACCACCCAAAAGGAGGAGACACATTCTTTTTCAGTCTAACACCAATCCCCCAAATAAGTAAACCCTTAAGTCCCTTTCCTATATATGTTGTCTACCTAATAAAAACAGCTGTATCTCTGTTTTGTGCAAGGCTGATATCTATAGCTACTTAAATACCTTCCTAGGTTGGATACTTTCCACCAATAAGACTAGTAAACAGATCAGTTGTAACCTCTGTATTTTTTTTTTTCCTTTATGTAGTCGCTGAATCCTTCCTTAAGGGAATCCAGTTCTTCTGAAGGCTGGATTTCGTTGCAAACAATGTAAAATTTCTTTTCTTTTTAAATTTTCCCCAGCTTTACTGATGTATGATTAATGAATAAAAATGATCTATTTTTAGTTGGTACAGTGTACTGTTTTGATATACATACACACTGAGAAATGATTACCATAACCAAATAATATCCTCTAAATAGTTTTAAAATATTAGACGATCAGAAAAACTATTTACAGGAAAAAAAAAACACATTGTTTTTCATTTTAAATAAATTTTTAGAAAGTCAAAATATAAACTACAATCATTTCTATAAAATCTAAAAGTACATTACTTACTGTTGTGTGATGTACAACACATTAACCAGGGTATCATCATTCATGAATTCCATTTTAGCTGTAGTTAAATTACGAAGAGTAAGAAACTGGGGATGGTCTCTGATACGTTTTACATTTTTTGACAAGCTGACAGTCTGCTTTTGAAACTGCCAAAGTATACTGAAGGCACATCCCACTTGCTTTTCAGAAAGTATGGCTTTGTTTTTTTCAATAAGATCAAATATTTGCTCTTCATCTGTACACTTATTCATCTGGCTAATTAATGGTTCAGAACTCAAGAGTCGAAAATGAAACACCCTCCAAGAGAATGGACAAATAGCTCGTAGGCGAAGCATACTGGAAACAATGAGTTTAGAGGGGAAAAGTATCTTTTCATTTACATCATAATTTTCTTAGGTAAAGAAAACTTTCTGCGACTAGCAGCCATGTGCAATAATACGGTGGTATAAAAATAACTGTTTTTCCTTCATGTTTTTTGTTTCCATTATGATGACTCCAAATCCATTCCAATATGCAGCTTCTGTAAAGAAATTGGTTTAACGTGGTTATGTGTATATTATCAATATGAAATTAACTCCAAAATTCTAATTAAAGTAACAAGTTTTTGCTGCATTAACTACAGACTACATCAACAAACCAAGACTCATAATCCTCTCTATGGCTATGCCAGCTTGTCTGTTCACAAGAAAAAACGATGAGACAATATTGGCTACTTTGTGACAATCAGTACTACATTCTGAGCCAAGCCGACCTGGGTCGCAACATACACAAAAACCTGCGCAAAGCATCTTCAAGAGTCTGAAATCTGTCCACAAATTAAAGTGGAAGCAGCTCAGCGGTTAGAATACCAAGATTTTAACTCCCCCTCAGCTAAGTGACCTTGCGGAAGGCACTTAACTAAAAGGGGGGAGGGGGTACCTTGGGACTATAAATGAGAGATGGGTACCACCAGCTCTGAACAGATACAGTGTAGGGTTAACAGCGACACCCTTGCAAATGGCAGGCACGGTCCGTCCTTGGCACACAGTAGTGCCGAGAGAATTAATGTAGTCTCAGCCCAGCCCTAGTCCTCCGCACTCCGGAAAACCCAATACCCGGAAGGAGGCCTTTAGGTCTCAGCCGAACCGTGTGTCCCGGGCCCAAAAACGTGCTGGCTGCAAAAAAAAAAAAAAAAAAAAAAAAAAAAAACCTGTCTACCCGGCCCTGACTTTGTCCCTCAGCGCCTTGGGTACTTTTCTGAAGGTTCGCGGGGAAGGCTGCTTATGAAGGCTCAGACCTCGACTATTCCTGGTCCCTCAGCAAGGGACGCAACAGGCCCGGTTTTGTCATTCATGACTCCCTCATATCCCAGAGGTTTTCGCCTTTCCTCGAGAGACATCACCTTTCCTCTGCGGGTGTCCGTCCAAACCAGGAAAAACGCCGGGAGAGCGCAGCGTGCGCGGCCAGAGACACGCACTACATGCCCCAGAGGACGTCGCGGCGAGGAAGAGACGTGCTTACGTGCTTGGGGGAATTCTGGGCATTGTAGTTCCTCTTTGAGAGAGACGTGGGCCGCACATCTTAAACTGTTGAAATGATAGGCCCTTAAGGTCCATGTTTCTCAACTCCATGAGGTTTTCGCCCAGTCCGTGGAAGATTTATACTTTTATAATATTCAATAGAAATGAATATATAGAAAAGTGAAATTTGAAAACTTAAACATGGAAAAGACACGTACAGATTTTTGTTTCTTATACAACATGTATGAAATTATCAAATGGCTATGAAAGCATCTAAACTCTTCTCTCAGATTTCTGCGCTTGTGTAGTGGCAGGCAGGTACCAGTCTTAGACCACAGGGTTTTTTTAAAACAGCTTTATTGTGAAATTATTTACACAACATACAAATCACTTATCTACAGTATACAATTCAATGGCTTTTTAAAACTCAGAGTCATGGAACGTTACCACAATCAATTTTAGAATATTTTTATAACTCCAAAAAGAAACCCTGTACCATTTAGCAGTCACTTGCCCCACACCTCCCACACCTAGGCAACCACTAATCACAGAGCACTGATTAAGGCTGTTTGGAACCAGATCTACTGATACTAACAACTATGAAAATGGAGGTTGATCTGAATACACAGAATAGAAGGAATTCTAGAATAAATGTGAGAAAAAGCATAGAGATAAGACTGAGCATGAACTGTGTCAAGGCCCTTGAGTCAAAGACCACCAGGAGTACACCTAGAGTTAAACAAAGTTGGGATTACTGGCTGGTTGCAATGAAGCAGAACACATCCTAACGGGTGTCAAGAAAGTGTTAGAAGGAACATATTATAGTATTCAGCCTTGTGTTAAGTGATTTTAGAGAGGTTTAAGAAGGACTTTTCTCTAGATTGGAGGCTGTGAAGACATTATTGAGTATCTTTTTTTTTTTACATTTTTTATTGATTCATAATCATTTTAGTGTTGTGTCAAATTCCAGTGTTCAGCACAATTTTTCAGTCATTCATGGACATATACACACTCATTGTCACATTTTTTTCTCTGTTATTTATCATAACATTTTGTGTATATTTCCCTGTGCTATACAGTGTAATCTTGTTTATCTATTCTACAATTTTGAAATCCCAGTCTATCCCTTCCCACCCTCTACCCCCCCATTATTGAGTATCTTAACAAACTTTAGAAGGCAGAAGGAATGAAATGAACTTAAAGCTATAATTGGTAAAGAAGCCGTAACCACTCACATTAGCTAAGACAGGTGGATGTTTGATCATTTTCTGTGATTTGGACAAAGTTCTGTTTTTGTGTTAATTCAGATGTGATTATCAAATGGTCTTGTTTTTGGCTTGACCCATCACAGTCAGAGAGTGACCTTGTCCCATGTTAGTCTGTGCAATTACGCTCAACAGAATACCCCAGGTAAGCTATGAGTGCCAGACCAGCTCCTGGAAACAATAAAGCCTAAATGATAATGACAGGGTGGTTTCTTCACTTGCTGGGGGCTGCTTGTCTCCTTCTCATCCATTTGTGGAATTGTAAGGAGACCAGCCTAAGGAACAAATGCCAGCAGCTTACCTCCCTCTGGAATCATTTGTGTAAGAAAATAAAATCCTTTTTGTTTAGTCACTGTTAGTGACTTTTCTCTACTTGCAGCCTCGGACATTCATAACATATGTAGTTATATACAAATCACACCTGAGAACAAAATTTAGGTAATAATTTAAATCCACAGACACAGAATTGCGTTTTAGCTAACGATTTAAATCATAAAGAAGTATCTTTTACAAGGGCTAATAAGTGGTTAATAAAAGGTAGCTCTAAATTTCCTCCTAACAAATGTCAATGTCCTTCAGCCAAAAAAACAGCAAAAACCTGCAGTTGATGGATTACTTGTTGCAGCTCAGAGAAAATGAACATCGTAGAAAACCATTTGGCAGCTCAGTAAAAGAGTATTAGAAAGAATTTATTATAGGATTAGGGCTTTGGTTAGGCAATTTTGGGGAGAGTATAAGGAAGAAGAGGTTTGTTCTATCTTGAGTGTTGTTAGGAAACAGGGCAATTCTATGATTGGGCACCTTAATAAATGTTAACTATAGGGAAGGCAGAGTAAAGGAGGAATAAAGCTGAAATTGGTAAAGACATAGCATTTACTCACTTAGCAAGAGGGGAATCCTGGGTATTTTGTGTTGCACAATGACCCTGTCTGATCTCAATATTCTATGAGATTGTTTATTCCAACAGGAGCACGGTATGCTTTAAAATGTGTAAGATTAGTTTGAAATAACATTGAGGTTTAGCTACAAACATCAAATCAGTTTCCCCAATGTCGGGAACCTTTTTTTCCCTTACAAATTAACTTGAATGCTTTTTTTCTCCTGGAGTAATTCTGTCAGTAAGGAATGTGTTTGTTGGATATAATACCAATAGCACCAAGAGAAAAAAATAGATTAATTTGATTTCATCAGAATTAAAAACTTGTATGCATCAAAGAACAGTCAACAGAGTGAAAAGGCAACCCACAGAATGGGAGAAAATATTTGCAAATGATATAACTGATAAAGGATTAATACCCAGACTATATAAAGAACTCACCCAACTCAATGACCAAAAAAATTTTTTAATGGGCAAAGGACTTGAATAGGCCTTTCTCCATGGCCACAGGCACATGAAAAAATGAAAATCAAAACTACCATGAGATACCACTTCACACCCAAGAGGATGGCTATTATCAAACTATCAGAAAATAATAAGTGTTGATAAGGATGTGGAGTAATTGGAACGCTTGTGTATTGCTGATGGAAATATAAAATGGAGCAGCCACTATGGAAAACAGTATGATGAGTCCTCAAAAAATTAAACACAGAATTATCATGTAATCTAGGAATTCTACTCCTGGGTATTAACTCAAAAGAACTGAAAGCAGGAACTTGAAGAGATATTTGTACACAAATGGTACATCAGTGGTGCACCAATGGTACAGCATTATTTTCAATAGCCAAAAGGTGGAAGCAACCTAAGTGTCCGTTGGCATATGAGTCAATAATGACAATGTCATATATACATATAATGAAATTTTATTAAAAAGGGAGAAAATTCTCACACATGCTACAACATAAATGAACCTTGAAGACACTATGCTAGCTGAAATAAGCCAGACACAAAAGAATGAATATTGTATGAGTCCACTTATTTTAGGAACAGAGAGTAGTCAAATTCATAGAAACAGAAAGTAGAACAGTGGCTGTCAGAGGTTGGGGGCAAGAGGTAATGAGGAGTTGCTTAATGGGTACAGGGTTGCAGTTTTGAAAGACAAAAAGAGTTCTGGAGATTGGTTGCGAATGTACTTAATGTGAATGGACTTAACACTACTGAACTGTACACTCTAAGATGGTTAAGATAGTAAATTTTATGTTTTGCCTATTTCACTACAATTTTAAAAAAGGATTCAAAGAAAAATGACCAGCCTCACCGGTAATCAGGAAATTACAAAATACAAATGTACCATTCTTTCACCCATTAAATTGGCAAAAACTAAAAAGATTGAAAACAACTTCCATGGGAGAAAACAGCCACTTTCATACAACCCTGAAGTGCCACAACCTTTCAGGATACCTTTCATGGCCCTCCATGACATGATTAAAATGTATTTGAGACTGGATAATCTCACTTCTGGCTGTGTTTCCTACAGATTTATAAACATCAATATATAAGGATATATGTAAAAGGATGTTTATTACAGTATTATTTGTATTAACCAAAACTTGAAACAACTGAAATGTCCAATAGGAGAATGGCCGGATAACTTATAGTAGCATATCCATACTATAGAATGGTCTATAGATATCAAAAGAAGATGTTCATAATAATTTTTATGCAAACAAAAGCAAATTTCAAAGTAATACATGTGATGTGATCTCATTTTTGTGAAAGGAAGAGAATTACAGATATTAAATAAGGGTTTTTAATGTTAGTATAGGGACAGAGAATGTATCATTGAATACCTTAAAGAAATGGAATTGGAAAGGGTTAGGGGCAATTAATTTTATACCTCTATAGAATGTTCAAATTTTTACAGTTGCTTATATTACTGTAAAATGTATGTGACAACAGGTGTGCTTTTTTTTTAAGTGAAACATAATATTGGTAGAAAATTAGAACAAGCACAAGTTTATCCACCTATGGGTAGAAGCAAAATTTTTCATTATTCTAAACTAAAGGTGAGTTAATTATAGTAGCCCAGCCCACCTATTTCTCCTCTTTTGGTATCAGACGCCACTCTTCACAATGCAAAGACTGAAATAACCCAGGTTAGGCCAAATCTAGCACTTTAGGCCCATGGCCTATTAGATGGGTAATGTTATCTGCTGTAATGAATAAAGCCAAATGTCAGTGGCTTAACCTACAGAATTTGATTTCTCAATCACATCACATTCCAATGTGGGTATTCCTGGTCAGTGGAGGACTTTTCTCCACGTAAAGATTCAGGGCATTAGGTTTCTTTCATAGTCCACAGAAGGCCTTAAAGTACTCAATTCAGCTGACAAAAAAAGGAAGAGAGGACATGGAAAAAGAATAATGCTTGATAAACATCTTGGTCTGGATGTAATACACAGCAGTTTCACTCACTTTCCATTAATGAGTATTCACATATCCTTACTTAGATGCATAGTTCTTAGCAGGACAGACATTTCCCAGTGACACTCCTCGCTATGTAAATGGAAGCACAAATTTTAGAGCTGTTGCTGCAACACTCATCAAAGACTTCTCTGGCATTTTATAATTGGAGCTGGCAGAGACTCAGATTATTAAGATGTGAGGTAGTCTCTTGAAGAAGTCAGTCAAGAGAATGAAGCCAAAAAAATAGGTAGGTAGAATTAGACAAGAGAGAACTTTCATCACATTCCATCTATTTTTTTTTCTTCTCTGTATTGGTTATACATTGCTGTATATCATCCCCAAACTTAATTAACATTAAATAACATTCATTATCCCACAGTTTCTG